GTTTTCCCAATGAAGTAATGTATCAAAAGTTCAGGTCATTTTGTCAAAGAAAAGACAGCTTCTTATTTGATATTTTCTGACTCAAAAGAGTTGTTTGAATGTTAGGGTGCACTTTGAATTTTTTTTACACCAACTGTACTGGTGACTGTGAAGATGCTTCTGTCAGGGCATGTAATAGATTATCTGAAAACCTCAATTCTTTGGCTTTTCTGGGATGTTTATGTTATTATTATTTTCGATTATGAAGCTCAGTAATTTATAGCATCCTGAATAAGACCCAAATGTGCTTTTACTAACCTAAGAACATTTGTGCGTAGGGTAAATTTTAAGAAGTTATGTGGTCTTTCTTTCCCTTTCCTACACAGGTTGCTGTCCCAAACCTTAATGAAGCTGTACAGGATGCAGACTTGTTGGTTTTTGTCATTCCTCATCAGTTCATTCATAAGGTCTGCGATGAAATCACAGGACGAGTGCCCAAGAAAGCTCTCGGTATAACTCTGATAAAGGTAAAGCAAATACTGTGTGTAAAAAACAGATAATATGTTGTGGATTTTCTAAAACCAGATAGTTTGCAGTTTAATATGAAAACCCTGTGCTACTCCCTAGATTGTTTCATTAAACCTTTTGAGATGCAAGACTGGAATTTGTCTCAGTCATTAGTGGAAGAAGAAAATGAGGCTGTTCACAAGACTTGAAAAGAAAGGGGAGAGGAATATGTTTTGCACCATCAAGCTTTGCAGTCTGTTATTTCTTGTTTCCAAATGCATCATTAGATGGAGAGCAGAGCACAAGCATAATGCTTTGATTGTTAATGCTCATCCCACACACTGAGTTAATCATTTTAAGAACTGCTGAGAGAATTCTGTGACTGAGCTCTTGTTCATATCATCGATTATGTTGCAACAACAGAGATTATTCAGCATGGCCCAAAAGGATTGTTCAGACATGGGAACTTGGAGTGGGGCTGAGATGTAGGAAGTAAGTGTTTCATTGGAGGCTTTATGGTTTTGGTGATAGAAGTTTTAAATGTTTCTTCTCTTGTGTTTTTTTTTTTAGTTCCTCTGAGGTTATCAAGAATGCTTTCTACTTAGTTCAGAGTCGACCATTTTCTCAGCACGTATTCCCTTGTCCGCTATCATTTTTGGCAAACAATCAATTGATGGATCATTTAGGGATCAAAAAGTTCAAAAAGAAAAAAGAAGGAAAAGTACAAAAAGACCCTATGACTGCTGATCACAAGCTTGTCTTTAGTTTGACTAAACCCATTAAATTTGTGCTACTTTGTCAGTGCTGGCTTGATATATTACTGAGAGGTATGAAAAAGTAATGCTTCCTGAGTGCACTTGCTGCATTTTGTGGAAAAGCTTTCCATATAGTAGAAGGATAAAATGAAGCAGCATTAAAAGAGCTGAATACATAGCACCCAAACCACACAGCTATCTTAGATGCCCTAAAGCTATAAAACTTGCATTGCTTTGAAGCTGTCAGTTTATGTTCCTTCTCCTGTAAGCTCAAGGTAATCTTTATTCTTCTGTAGTTTGCAAAATGTGATTTATGTTCTTATATCCCTAATGCTGGCAACAACTCTGATTAAACTGGTGGAGTAGATGAGGATTTATGTCAGCGCATCTGAAATCAGGACCTGGGCCTGCATTTCCTTGGCAGTACTGCTCAGAGTATTGATTACAAGTGCCTTAATGGAGTGTTGATTAAGGGCTATGTGAAAAAAAAGAAATAGGAAGGGGGTACATGACCCTACTTGCCCTAGTATAGGTAAACTAATGACACCTGCCGTGCAAGGAAGAACTGCATAGTAGGCACATTTCCTTGTCTTAAGGAGAATGTGAAACGTTAGCTTTTATCAAAAGCTATAACTGCATCATTATAAGTATCATTTAAGAAGAAAGGGTAGAAGTAGAATGCAATGTTGAAACTAATAACAGAGGCAAGAATGCACTCCTTCCCCTACTTTTGCAGCTTCTTTATGCGTGCTGTTTTCATTCAGGTCATATTTTAGCAGTCTCATTATGCTCATCTCACCACTAATGCAATTAAAGAGGTCTGTGTTAACTTTGGCAGTTAAAGTGCAGCTCTCTGAAAAATGTGACTAGTGGGACCTCTTGTTTCTTTGCTTTCTAAATTGCTTAGCAAGTTAGCAGTATGTCATCTTTAGTCTTCCTTCGTTTTACTTTTCTCCTTTTTCTTAACAGACAAATTTTCAAGCAAAGCCTAATGTCTTATAGTAAAATGGAGTCTTTGGGAAATAAAGGTGTTTGTCTGCTAGGTAATCTGTGTTCCTATTCAAACGTGTTGGTTTACACGAGGATTGATTATCAGTATCTGTGAAAACCTAACAAATGATTGTGCAAATGAGTGGAACCTGGATCATACACCACACAGGGTGCAGCTCAGCAAGGAGCTGGGAATCAGGGAGCACTTGAAGCCTCCTCGGGCAGCCTCAGCATTGAGCTCATTTTCATCCATCTGTACACAGGCCTCAGGAATTGCATTGGCAGGCATTATGACCAACGGGTGAGACCACAGAACTGGACTTGCATTGCCCAGGGATCACTGCTGCCTTTGGTTTGGGGTGGGGAGTGTTTGGTTTTCCTCCTGCTGTCTGTCATTCTGTGTTGGACTTGGCTCTTCAAGAAACAGGTGCAGCATTCCTTGTCTAGTCAGAAGTTGCATTTGTTTCATAGCAAAGCTGGGTTCTGGCACCTGAGCCTCTTTCATCAGGTTTTGCGTGGATGAATAATTGTGTACACATGTAAATTTTTGGAGTTGTTCCCAATGTGTGTATGTTTTTCTGTTTATTTATGTTTGCTAGGAGGATGGGGGAGAGGCCTTGCAGTTACCTCATGGGAACATCTTGGTGCTCTGAGGGGGAAATGCAATATTTATGTGTCTGCTTGCTTTCAAATTCTTTTTTCTGTGGCTCATAAAAGATGAGAAAGCAGAATGTGCATTAAGTGCTTGAAAAAATAATGCAGAAATGCAAGCACTGTTGGCTGTTGTTATGTAGGCACTTCATCGTCTCTCGGCTGTACGATGTTTTGCCAGGGCTGTTACCTCTGGTCTGTGAGAATGCAAAACGCTGCATGTCTGAAATGCCACTACTGACAACATACAAATATGTGTGTGTGTATGTCTGTGTGTGTGTGTATAGAGTAGTAGTAGCAGTAGTGGATCACACTAAAAGGCATAAAATTAAAAATAGCCATGCCTTCCCAACATTGAGAAATAGTATTGAATAGAACTTATATACTGTAGGAAAGAAAGACCATTTCAGCAGTCTGCTGTGTCCCTGTCCTAAGAGCTAAAAAAAAAATCTCTTACCTCATTCTGTAAAGTAGGAGAGAATGCTTTTTTGAAGAGTGGTCTTACTTTGTGTTTATGATGGTCCGGTGGTTGGTGACCCTGCGCATAGCAGGGGGGCTGAAACTAGATGATCATTGTGGTCCTTTTCAACCCAGGCCATTCTATGATTCTATGATTCTATGATACAAGCCATTCAGGGTACCAGATTGTGTTCTCCATTGCAGCATTGATCTCTATGGTGATCTTCCCTAAAGTCCTGTTTCTCCCCCTACTTTCACCTTTTGTGAAGCGTGTTTATAAATGACGATCAAAAATATCCTTATAAGTTAAAGTATTCTGAGTTGTTCAGCTTTCTTCGTATCTATGAACTGCTGTTTCATTTGCAGTATTCTTAAGTTGATTAAAATGCATCTCTAAGAGTGAACTGCAATTGGTTGGACAGGAAGGAGTCAGTTCTGATATTTCTGTTCAGGTACTTCTAAACAGAAGGAGTCAATGAGATGGTGTTTTTGAGTTGGGATGCAGATCCAGATCCAAGTGCAGGCCTGATTCACAAATGATGCATCAGTGACACTTCACTGTTTTTAGTGGGGATGTAGTGATAAGCAGCTGAGATTATGAACAGAGCTGAATATTATACAATCAATCAGATTGGAAAAGACAGCTAGTTCAGCGCTTCTGAGAGTCAGAACTGCTATCCAGAATGGGAATAACAATGTTACCATCATCCCTCCCCCTCCCCCCCAACCCGTTGGTAGTTTAGTCCTAACTCTTCAGGTGCTTGGACAAGTTGCAGTAGCAGAAGCTTTACTGGCATAGCAGCAAAGCAGGAAATTCTTCGTCTTTAGTCTCTATCTGGACAGGCCTGGGTGCAGTGCCCATGGACAAGAATTATTGTGCTATGCTTTCTTCTCTACTGTGTCTACTGAATGCCTTTTTAGTAATTGCAGTTAATGTTGGTTGCAGGGAATAGATGAAGGCCCAGAGGGACTGAAACTGATCTCTGACATTATTCGAGAGAAGATGGGAATAGACATCAGTGTGCTGATGGGAGCAAACATTGCCAACGAAGTGGCAGCAGAGAAATTCTGTGAAACCACAATAGGTAATGTCCCAAGTAATAACAGTGTTGTAAGTATGTTCTCCTCCTCACAGGTGTGCACTCAGTAGCTCAGATTTCATTGTGTTCAGCATCGGAAGCTCTGGGATCCTTCTGATTTTAATGTTGAATTTCCTAGAATGTTTACATGTCCAAAAGTACTGGGAGAAACTGGGACTAGAAGGAGAGATGAGTGCAATTTTAACATGTCTCACAAGAGTTTGACCTTAGTGCAGGAAATGCTATGCACATTTTTGATCACCCTCCATGTAGCAAACTGCTTTATTTTGTTGCTATTCTTATGATTTTTCTTGGATCTGCATGGCTTGGTATATATAAATGACTGTATATTGTGTATTCCAGCTCAGCTGTTATGGTCACAGATGGTACCTATATGCACGTCTTTTTTAGGTGTAGGTGTCGGTGTCTTTTGAGTTCTCCAAGTAGTTAGTTCACCCCAAAGCTAGGAATGGGTTCAGTTCTGTGTTGGCGTCTTGGTGTCTGTAACCTCTGCAGTACAAAGACGTCTCTCATCTTGCATGTCACAAATTCTGGATAAGCATATGTGTGTATGTATACATGTACATGTGCTCATATATAATAGAGAGTTAATGTCATTTTTTCAGTGTTTATTTTTACAGTTTTGTGCTTTTCTTTCTTTTTTTTTTTTCAGCTTTCTAACTTCTTACTAATGGTTCTGTATTTTAATTTATTTTTTGAATGGTTGCATTACCTTTCCATGTTTATAAACAGCTGTGAATGTCAACATGCTTAGTTTATACCGTGTCCTTGACCTGCCTTTATCAGTAGGCATTCTTCTAGAATGAAGGCTTTAAAATAATAGGCAGAACTGCACCTGCTTTATTTCAAATTTACCTTTGCTTTATTATTAACTGTTATTTTGAGGAGAAAGATCAAAGAAAAAAAGAGAGTATAAAGAATTAATGAGATTATTATTTGGAAGCTCTTGATGAGCAGGCAATGAATTACGAATACAGAGAAACTCAGCGTAAGAGCTTTTAAGTGTGAAGAAGTCTGTTTAGGATGACAACCTTATCTCTAGTTCCAAATAGTCAAACTTGTGCAGAAAAGACTAAATAATACCCAAATCAATTATTAATTGACAGTTTTTATCCTTCCTTTCTCTCTCACCAGGCAGCAAAATCTTGGAAAATGGCCTTCTCTTCAAAGAACTCCTGCAGACTCCAAACTTCCGAATAACTGTAGTAGATGATGCGGACACCGTTGAGCTCTGTGGTGCACTGAAGGTAAGAGTAACAGGCTGCAGTTTGTGCACAGATGGGACAGTGATCCTTGTAGAAAAAAAAGTGGATATTTTCATTTAAAGAATCAAGCTTCTTGTACTTTATATAATGTATAAAATTGTTACATAACATTCCCTGAAGAACCAGATGTGAATGTAGGCAGCAGCATGTTCAGTGAGTTGGCTTTTAGACACTTGTCTCATTATCTCTCAAGTCGTCTTTCTCCGTCTTTCACGTTGCTTACACGTAATCACAAAACAAGTGTTAATTTCACCTCACTGGTCAAAATATTTCTAAATACATCTTAGTTCACTTTTTCGTTATGCAGCGGTGCATTCACCAAAATAAAGTGAGAAGTCAGTATTAATCCTTGATGTCTGATGAGTGAAATGTTCTCCTTTCCTCTGACTTACGTAATGTGAGCTCTACTGTGTGCTGCACTTTCTCACCATGTGTATGACCACATACAAAAATGACTTGAATAGGAAAAAAAGCTGTTTTGGAGAGTTATTTATCTGGATTTTATTTTTTGGTAAAAAAATTGACGTTGACAGGAAGCCAAAACAAGCTTAAACATACTGATATATTTTTAGGTTAATTTACAGGCCGTTTATGAAGGGAAAGCATTAGTAGCTTGAGACCCTGGCCAGTAGTTCACATTATCTGCTAACTATCATGGAAGCACTTGTAGAGTTCGTAATGTGGCTCCACAGCCATTGCTTGAAACTGCTGCTGTGGTGATAAGCAAGGTTAGTGGGAGAGAAATTCCTGCGTATAGGCCCATGAAATAAGTCAAAAAACAAACACTACAGATTTTTTATTTTAAAATCTGCTCAGCTTGCTGTTTTCTGATTATCTGGAATTCTTGCTTGATAGGTGAGTTAATTCCCTGACAGTTGTTTCCTCTAGAAAATTCTGTAGACTAAATCAGCAGTTAGTCAGCAGGCACTCAAACTCCATTATAGAAGTCCCAGACAGGCAACAGACCAATATTTCTTTGGAAGTGCAGAATAATTTAAATCAGTTGTCCTTCTTGACCTGAAAAAGGGCTGAGGTCAAACTCTGTGGGTTTTTTGTAAGCTTGCTTTGTTCCTCCCTCCTGCTCCATTATTCATCTTGCAACCTGCAGACTGAGCTCTGTAGTCGCATTTCTAAAAAGCTGTATATATTCTATGTGCTCTGGTCACTTGGTGTTGGTTGTGGTATATTTTGTTAAGCGAGCTGAAACTTCCAAAGAAGTGCATGGTGTGACTAAAGAAAAATGTGAATTACAGCTGGTATTTTAAAACAAGTTGATCTTAGTATTTTGTACCTGATTGAAAAGCACGAACTCTCAAGTGCAGCTCTTGTTGACTGACAGTTACTTTATTAGACTTGCAAAGTTACTTCATGAGAAATAATAAAAATTAGCATTACTTAACTTGAGGGAAGGAAGAAATTCCTATTTCAGAAGATGTCAGTACTGTGTCGTGTAAAGAGACAGGCATGAAACGAGAGGGTCTGCTCTTTTTCTATAGTGATGCTGCATCAGACTGACAGGAGCATCCCCGCAAACTGCCTTTTGGAATTCAGAAGCAAGCAGATTCATGTGCTTGTCCAAACTTGCTTTTTTCTTACAGAAATAGTAAAAGCAATTCCTGTAGAGGTATTTAATGAATGAGAAATGCCATGGTGGGAGAAAAGCACATCCTTCCAGTTTCTGCATTTTTCCATATGTACCTGCTTGGGAAAAGGAGACTTTTCTTGGTTCATCTGGCACCATAGGCTACCTCAGCACTTACCTCACTCTATTTCTGCAAGCAAGGAAGATTTCAGTGTGGATGATTGCCTAAAGGTTGGGAGAAAAAATATGGAAGGATAGTAGAGAGTGTTCTGAGCTCAGCTTTCCCTCACAATAATGATAATTTTAGGTTTGAAATTTGTCTTTTGAAGCATATTTAAATTCAGACTGTAATAATAGGTATTGCAGCTGGGTGATCATGAACACATGCTTTATTGCTATTTATGTATGTGCACATATAGACTGAATATCCACTTCGTTCACTGTGTTTATATTTTGTGACAATGGGCAGATGGAGAAGTATAGAAATAGGTGCAGTGAAACTGCAGCCTTGCATCAGCTGAGAGACTGATAATGGCAGTCATTTAAAAGAATCCAACAATACTGAAGAACGTCTATCTCCAGTAACTTGTTGGCTGTGGGAACAAGATGTGCTTGGAGGGTTTTCTATAAGGAATTTTTCTTTTGAGGACTGAAGCACATTTCACATTTAGTCGGCAGCCTTTTCTAAGGAGTGAGGTCAGGAATGAACCAGTTTCAAACGTGGGTGGTTCAAAGCCCCTGGATGCCTTTATGGGCAGCCCAACCGCAGGGCACCCTCAGATTCCAGCTGCCATTTGCCAGACAACGTGGGTCCTTCCTAGGAAATAGTTAAAGGTGACTGGGACAGGGACCAAGGCGTGGGTGACAGTTCTTGCAGGAAGGAGAAAGAGCCACAGCTGTGGTTGCCTTTCCCAGCAGAGCTTCAGGTCTTTCTCTAAATCTTAACTAATCTACAGCTTAACCTTAAGCAAAGAAGTGTGAGTGATTTGCTGCTTACCAGAGCATGTAACCCAGCATTCTCATTTACAAAGGTGTTCCTTTGAAGTTTGTTTATGGCAACTGTTGTCGGATAGTCAGTCTAGCTACTGTAGAAGTTGGCTGTGGTAATTACGCCTTCCTGAGATTAGTTGGAAATTAAATCCATGATTTATGTTCAAGTTTGCCAGGAGCAAGCAAATGGTTTATGCTGAGCCTCTTTTAACAGTCCTGCTGATACTGTCCTTAATTTGTTGAGTCTCTATTTGACCTCCTAGCTTCTACAAATTCATGTGCTGAGCTGTGGCACTACATCAAGGAACAGTCAATGTCCCAGATGAATTAAAATATCTGTGTAATACTTTAATGACCTATTTAATTAGGGTCAGAAGTGGCTTCTGAAAATGTCTTCATGAGCACACCACAAACTTAGAGTAAACAGAGCAGGACAGGAAGCTGGGTATTTCTTAGCAGTGACGTGTGTCAGCAGTCTGCAATTTTGTTAGCTATGTTTTTTGGGTTATCTACTGCATTTGTGACTTCTAGCATGCTTGCAGCAGATCATGTACAAATAGAAGATACACTTTCTCACTCACTCTGTAATACACTGTGGACACTGCCTGACATCAACATTTTTTTTCTGGAGTGTCCTTTCAGTATCTTGGTGATAAAATAACTTGAGTCCAGGCCTAGCTCACTTTGTACTTCAGGGTATTACCTGGTGTAGGGAACCTGCTTTGGCAGGGGGGTTGGACTCGATGATCTCTGGAGGTCCTTTCCAACCCCTACAATTCTGTGATTCTGTGATTCTGTGATTCTGTATGAAACCAGCCAGAGAGTCAGCTGTTACTGTAAGTATTTTAATAGCTTAAAACCATACTCAGTATAAAAGCACCCTGTGCATCTTGCTCATAGGATGCATGCTTTAATGGAAAAAGCTGTAATGCTGAGTGTGGGGAAACATTCGCTCAAGCACTAAGTGATTTTGAGAGCTCTGAATCCCACAGTCCAAGAGGAACGTTGTATTGCAGTCATTTTGGGTTTGTTCTGATGGTATTTTTGCAGTCTTGGAACAGCAAATTTGTCTGTAGACTACAGTTGTCGTTACTTATTGGGTACACTGCTGAGCTGGTACGCTTCACCTTTATCAGATACAGTAAATGTGTTTTGCCATATAGAAGGCTGATGACACACACAATCTGCTTCTTAGATGATTACTCTAGTGCTAGTGCCACTAGGCTCTATGCATCTTTCTGTAATAGACTCAGCTCACCAGAGGTTTCAAGTAGCAAGCTGTCTGTTTTGAGACTTAGACACCTTTCTGTCCAGAATAAGATCAAGTTTTGAGGCTGTTTATTTTTTTTCAGTAAAGCATGACTTTCTGTGTGTCGTAATTCAGTTTTCTCTGCTGTGTATTAGGCAAGAAGGAGTTGTCATAGATTCTTCAAGGATCTAAATGAAACCAGAGGATGGAGTTTTATAAGTTCACGAGTGCGGTCTGAGGGCTATGTTGACAGGTTATAATCATCTCCTAGGTGTGGGTGTGTATTCAAGAGCAAAAGGAGTTGTCTTATTTCCTCATTTGCAAGCTGTGTGCAAGAACATATAATGGGGCATTGTCCAAAAGAAGAGCTAAGTGATTCAGAACTGGAATCACAGCTTCCCTTCCTCCCTACACCATCTCCTCAGAAGTAGCTAGTCATGGTAGGACTTGCTTAAAGCAATATTTGCATTACTCCGAGGGCAAACATTGTGAAAGGCAGAAGTAGTCAACAAATGCCATAGGTAATAATTGTACTGAAATTTATGGTCAGATGGTCTGCTGCAAAGTGGAAAAGAAAGTCGAAACAGGCATTGTCAGAGTGGGGGGGAAGAAGCTGCACTGATGGGAGTGTTCAAGAGGTACTGGAAAACATCCAGAAGTTGTTCAAAAATATTTTTGTTTTTGTCTTTGTGCTAAACATTTAGCCTTCATGACCATGTGAGTTCCAGTTCAATGGGTTATCCCATCTGAAAACTTTCTGAATACCTCTTCGACTTCTCTCACTTTGCCACCAAGTGAACAGATATTGGAAGTTGCTCTAGAAGAGCTGTCTGATCACAGCCAAGATGTAAGCCAGGATGAGCTCGAGTACCAGCATTAAGTCTGATAATCTGCTGTTGCTGTCGTATCTGATGTCAAAATTTCTGTTTGCAGTTTGTAAGGGCTGCCGTTAGACCTTTACTGGTACTTAAAAAGCAGAGTGATCCATTTTGTAGAGGGGAGAAGCTGTGATGGGCACATAGCACTGCAACAACCTGCAGTTTTTCGTTCTC